TAGGGTGCATTCTTTCATGGGGCCCCGAAAGTAGTAAGACTCTTGAGGCATGGGGAGGGGGTCCAACTGAACAAATGCCTCTCGAATTGGAAGGGACAGCAATCCAAAGCCACTCACAAACACATTAAACCAATTAAGTTGTTCGTTTGCAATTCCCAAAAAGCATAAAGCTCATGAGCTCAGGGATTGAGGTCAAACAGTACCAGTCAGGCCGGCACAACAACAAAGGGCACACCAGAAGCTAGGATTCCAAAGGCTAACCATCAGCGGCCGAGTGTCGGCCAACCCGACCAATTTCGGGATAGCATCCAAATGCTGGCATGTCTTGGAGGGACTGGACTGGATGCTTTCCAGAAGTTCAATCGTAAGTTGAGCACCCCTCATCTCCCATGAGCTCCAAATACAAACATTGGACACTGCAATCTGAAAGCCGGACTTTTAACAGCATGAATCTATGCTGTCCGAGTTGCAAATCTCTGCTTCCGGCCCTTCCTGCGAGTTGCATTGGTTTAGGCATGGGCTTAGATGCCCCACCCACCCCACCCCCCAAGGCAGCCCGGCAGAAGCAAAGCCACCTCGCCTGTAGGACAGCAGCTGAATCTGCGAGGCTCCGAACTCGGCCACCAAACTCTTGGCCTGCAGCGGACACCGCCGCCTTTCTGAAGCAGAATCTTGACACACTCAGCGGATATCTTGCTGCCTGTACAGATAGCCAAGGGAACCACCCTGCAAAAACCAAAAGGAAAATGACAGTTTGCCCAAACTGGGATCATCTGGGACGCACAAAAAGGAATCCCACGTAAAAGAAGCATGGCCCGAAAGATGGTGACCAAGAAGGGAAATGGGAAATGCAAGGAGCCCTGTGACTTGTCAGGAATCCCCTGCCTTTCAGGTATAGCCGTTGTTGTTCTTTCCATTTCCCATGGCCATGGAAACCATGGCCAGTTATGCTAGTTGCCCCCTGGAACTGGCATCCACTGGCTGGGGCAATCATGTCCAGGAGCAGAGGATCGAAAGGAGAACTTCATGCCTCCATTGGCCAAGATTTGCAGGATGGGAACAGGAAGGCCGGAAGGCCAACACCATGCCCAAACATGACCACGTGCATGCATGTGTCCAGCCGAGAACAAGCACCAGTTGTTTTCGCTCGCAGCTTGCCTCTGGACTGAAGGCTGCAGATGCTTCATCAGCAGCGGCGAGCATGAGGACATTGCCGGCTGCAACCGTCGGGAGATAGGCTTCCAAGCCAGACGAGTCCTGATGCGCGCCCCTGCACTGTCACTGTGAGCATTAGACATGGGCAAATCAGGACAGTGGTGCCAACCTGAGAGAACAAAACCTCAGCTTCCCACGGAGTGGTGGTTTGGATTGGTGGTTTCATGGTGAGGTCCCGAACCCCCGGAGTAAAATCGCTATGACTCGAATGAGTAGATCTTTCAGTAAGCTGGAAATCGCAAGAGCATGTTAATGCCTCATGGCAAACAATACTTGTGCGAGCAAACAAGCCAGCATAAGTTCTGAAAACTCAAAGTTAAGCTTCTCGGATATCGACGTGGAAAAGAACCAAAAGCTCAAGGTGTTCAACTTGCGATGCGGATGCAACAGCAAGCCCCCTCGCACTTCCCACATGACTGGCCAAAGCTCCTTAAGAAAGGCATGGTGAGCCTTGCGTTCATGGCCCAAGGTATACATAATTAATATAAATGACAGGCAAGCGGCTGCGTAGGTGTCGAAGGTCTTTGTCATCTTAACCTTGCAGGCCAACCCAAGCAAGTGGTCCCGTGGTCCCAACTCTCAGCGATCCCCATGTGACCAAATCGAAGCTAACCCTCCAAATGGCCAAGCCACTGAACGGGATCCTACGTGACCTAAACCCGGTCCTGTTTTGCTTTATCTGAGAGGCTCTGGGCCCGTCCGGGCCAGGTGAGCACAGTGCCGGTAGGCCCCGTTACGAACAATAATTCCATCGGGTGCACGTGTTCGTCTACATGGCTTGGCCTCAAATACTGCTGTTGAAGCCACGCCCAGAAAAGGTGCCATACACACAGGATCCTCAAAGGGACATGGTGGAACCCTCCATTCAGGGTTTACCCTCCAATCAAGGCCACTTGGTATGAATGCAACCACCCATATATAGGCCTGTCAGGTAGCATATTATGCGCCTTTATGGAAGTGGTGTGTGTGTGTGTGAGCTTAAAGGGTCGATTTTCTAGTCGTCGCCCAGCTGCCGTGCTGTCCGGCAGAAGCTCCACGACTGTCATGCCGCGATCGCCCGTGGCATACAGAAGCGCCCCATTCCTCGGTTGGCTCACGGATTGCGAACCGTACATTTTTCTACTGGTTGATTGACCATTCTTTTGAACCATCGTTATTTTCAAAAAATAGCCGTTTTCCCTGGGTTTGCGGAGGTTTTCTAGAAGGATCCCTTGAAGGAATGGGGAAGGTACCCCTGGAATTTTGTGCTCCCGCACGATGACGGTCTGTAGCGACACCGGAGAGATGCAAGGAACAAAAACGAAAGCCGAAAAGCGATCGCGAAAACAAACAACAGGAAACTGGGGCCGCAAGCGCAGTGGCATTGAAAGGCACACTCAGAGAGAGGGCCTCCAGAGGTGAAAGACAGTGACACATGAAAAAAGGACCAAGGCCCAAGGAGATAAAACGCCTACTGCTTCTACTGTCGCAACTAACCAGAGGAGACAAAAGGCGCGACAAAGACACCGACAATGATCCAGAAAACGCTTATGCAACCGCGCCTGGGCCCGTAAAGCAGGGAAAAACGTCTGTGGGAAGGAGGAAGATCCTGACCAGACAAATTATCAGATTGCCAGAAAGAAAAAACAAGTCCTGGCTCAAACACCCTGACAAACAAGGACCGAGCCAAGAAGTCCAGGATCCAGAATAATCAAGGAAACTTGAAGTGCTGCTGCAAACAGGAATGCGCAGGCTGAGAGGCATAGGTGCTGAGGCTTGGGCGCTTAGACGCGCTTGGGCGCTTGGGACGGAGCTTGGGCGCTTGGACGCTTAGGCGCTTAGACGCTCCTCTAAGCCGAGTTAGGCCTTGAAGCCTCCACGCCAAATAAGCCTCTACGTCTCCTTCAGGGGCTTAGGCTCCTTGAAGTTTGGACGCTCGGCTTGGGCGAATAGCAACTCTGGCTTAGAGGCGCAGGCGCTTGGAAGAGAGGCTTAAACGCTTAGAAGTTGGCGCAGCCGCTGTCCAGCAAAAAGAGGCTTAGGCGCTTAGAGGCTTAGAGGCTGTTGAAACCTCCCAGTACAATACGATGTGGCTTGGCCATCTCGACTAGGGTCAGCACGGTCTATCATACTATCTTGATTTAAAAGATGGTACCAAGAAGCACCGGTGAAGCGCAGAGCAAGTAAGCGAGAATCAGTAAGGTAGCACCCAGGTGCACGCTCCGCACAACAGGCCCCAAGGGCCAAACCTAGGTCTTCCCCAGGCAGTAGTTTTTCCAAAAACGCTCGATTAGACAACAACAACTCAATTGGAAAATAGTTCTGGTGTGTGTCCGCCAATTCCCGCTCATGTCCCTGTGATTTGCGCCCGCCGATTATCGCTCATTTTCCGGGAGAAAACTGGCAAAATCGCGAAACATCAAGGTTTTCGCTCATTTCTGTGTTTCCGCTCTAAAATCCAAAGCGAGCAAAAAATGCCCAGAGCCCCAACAAGTGACCTAATGGAAGACTTAGGAAGGAGGTGGTCGGCAAACAGGACGCCCGCAAGTGATTCCGGAGGGATGAGCAATCATGCTCATGTGGCTGGACGCAGCGTTGCCGCGTTGAGACAAAACGCTGTTAACTTTGTGCTGGTCAGAAAGGGGAAGTGAAGAAAAATCAAAAGGCAAAGAGCTAAAAAGGTAAGCGAAGTCTATGGAAGGTTCTCCGTTTGGTGCGTGGCCAAGCCTATCCGTTTACAACTTGCGTTCAGGTGAGAGAGAGAGAGTTTCAACAAACAACAACTCATTTGGTGTCACGTCTTTGGGGCAAGTGTGGGTTCCAAAACTCCTCCTCCCTCGGAGGAGCATCCCCTCTCAATCAGGGAGGAATAATGACCTATGTCAGGTTATGCCCCCTGGACTAACTAGCCTTAAAGCATTGATCCCGGGGCAGCCATGACTCACATGGGTGGTCAAAAGGTCCGTTGGCTTATGCGCCAAGGCTCAGCCAGAACTCCGCGCGGTTTCCATCCGACCAGCCGGCACTACGCACCACTAGGCCGGCCAGGTCGTTCCCAATCGCTTCACAGCAGTCAGCCTCAACCGGCAAAGCGCCTTTTCTGGGATTGGTCAATAGGTTGCTGGGGGGGGGGGATTTTGAATAGGATCCTTCACTCTTGGGGAAGCACCGGGCTTCAAAGGTGAACAGTGTGTGCAAACAAGCTGGACAGTCTCGAATATACACTCACTATGAACACAAGCAGAATACGGGTGACTGCAAGCGAACAAACTGCGCCACTGATTATCCGGCGCCAAGGTTGCGCTTGATTTGGCACTTTGCCGGCACTATGCTCACTCGCTATGTAGCATTCCCTCCCTCTCACTGGCACCGAACCCCCCCCCCCCGCTGTCAGGTTCGCCAAATTGACTCCGGAAGCGACCCACCGTGGAGGAACTTGCCAGACTCACAAAAATGAACAAGTCCGCACTGAGGAAAACCAAAGTGCAGGCGTGGCGAATTCCGGAAAGTTCAACGACATATTTATCCGTTTGTGGCATCCTTGGAGGAGCAAATCATGGGTATGATAAAAAAAAAAAAACACAAAAAAAAACAATGGGCACTTGCAGAAAAAACAAGACGAACAAGAGAAAGGAAACTCGGACCATGCATTTTTCGGGGGGACGGGGGGGGGACGGGGACAAGCCACCACTCCACCAATTGTGTCACTGGATTTCCAATCAACAGTTGATCAATTGACCCGTGGTTTTCACTGAAACGATCGCCTTTAGGGAATGGCTTGGACAACACGGACCAACCACCTGGCGCCATCCCACAAAACAGCGCCAACTCCAAGCAGCCTCTGAGTCACTGACAGACTCCAGTGCCGCTGCCTTCAGCGCGAACCCTGCAGGGCAATTCAGCTCTTTGCCTCAGCGACAGGGGAAGAAGTGAACATTCCATGTGCTGCTTCTTTAAGCCTTGATACCGGCAGCTTCTGGAGGGTACATGTTGTGCGTGTGTTTGTTTGCAACGAGGCATATATGTCATCTCCCGTTTGGCCCAAAAAAAGAGAGGACAAGCAAACCGGTTCACTTCGAAAGCCGTCACCTCGAAGGCCGTCCCATGGGGGAAGGCTGCCGTTTGGACGGACAACTTGCCAGGGGGCCGCCTGAAATAGAGGCCATCTCGATGGACAGCATGCTGTTTAAGCAAGCAGAAAGAGATACACTCCGAGAAGCCGCAGGTATTACTTGGTCCTTTCCAGTGACGGACTCATCCCCCCCGAATTTCTAGGGTTAAACATGTTGATAGCATTCCTTTGAAAAACAGCCCTTTCCTCGGCATGGCGACTTTTCTCCGTCCAAAAGGCCCTGGATTCCCCAGGCACACCGTTCTTGACAACCCCGCAGCTGGTGAAAGCTCAGAAGAGACCTTTGTTTTTATATATGATTGTTGGAAAGAGGGCCACGTCAAGCACCCAAAAGGGTCAACATGTCGGCTTTGGGCAAAGCAAACACCTTTTGCAAGGTCTATGTGAGCGGGCCCAACAAATTGTGGTTTTCGTTGGGGCTTCCACACAAAAAGCGACCACCACACTGCCGGCAAAGCTAGCTCTCCAGCGCGGTTGCAGCCGGTTCTTCATTGTTCCTGAAGGAATCCAATGCTGACCCCGGAATAATCAACCCCTTGCTATTCACTTTTCTTGGGGTGTTCCCCTCCAAAAGTGCTGAATCCGCACTGCCGGGGACGCCCCCCATATTAATCAATAGCGGGTTTATCACTCCGGGGTCCACATTACCATCGTCTTGGCTCGTAGCGCCCCAAAGATAACCAAAACTTGCAACACCCTCGCTTGCCCACTCCCACCGGTCCATTTCACCACTTTTGCCGCGCTACATTTCGCGAGCTCCGCACAAGGGGAGCAGGCGCCAAAGCACACGTGGTACTCCTGGTCCTCCGCGTCTGCCACAGAGATGTACCTATTGCCACGTCCCGTCTCCTGAGTTCGGCAAAGCCCCGCTTTCAGGTTACGGCTCACCCCCTGGTTTGCAGGTCAGGTTGCCTAAACCAACTACCTTGGCGTGAGGAACTTGACTCTCACAACCGCAAACCATCAATCCAAACCACGGTGGCCACGAAAGACAAACAGGATCTCCAAAGCCCTTGTTCTGGGCTGCTCAAAGTGGAGGGTTCCATAATCCCTATAGGGAAGCCACCACAAAGGGGACCCTGGCTTAATCCAAGGTAAGGATTAATGATTGCCTTTGAACAGCCCAGTTGTTGATGTTGATGACACACAAAACAGGAATAACCAGAAAGAGTCGGAACATGTTGTTGGCATCTACAAAAGTCTTCCCTTCAAAAGAACAAGGCCGGAGGCTCCTTGAAAACACCTGCTAAACTGTATGCACCACACGCCATACGGGTATGAGTTTAATTGGGGACCCCTTGGCGGACTTTGTGCTTGGGATTCACTTCACCAACCACTTCTGAGGAATTCCCCGTTGCCCATTAAAATTCATGGCCATACTGCCATGGGATGGCCAAGAGGCAGCCGATCCATGGATCACAGCGGGTGAGTTTCTGAGTAATTCCAGGCGATCAAAGGGCACTTCCCCTGACAGGTCCTTCCCCTGCGAGTCAAAAAAAACAATTCGGCAAGCCACGATTTCACTGCAGCCCGCCGGCACATACTCCGCCTCATCCCAGGTGCTGCCATTGATGAATTTGAACCTGCCGCAGGTTTGCCCTAGACAGCAGGGTTGCAACAAGGACTGCCCGGAACTTGTCTTGTTTACGTCACTGATCTCCCATGGTTCAACCAACGTAGCGGGCCAAAATGGCCAAGGGCAAACCCTGCACCGCTGCTTCTGACCGAAATTGAAGCATCTACCCACTACCCTGACCCTGCAGGACTTGCGAAAGTGTCAATGGCCTGAACATCAACTTGCAGGCAAGCAGCTCGTACCAACCTGCCGGGATGTCCAAGGTGGTCTCCTTGGCTGACTGCTAGCTTCGTCAAAAACGGGTCAGCACTTGGAAGGGAATGAGGACAGAGTGCCAGGCACCAAGCCACGGCTTCAAGTGCCATCAGCCCATCTCGGGAAGACAAGGGGCGTAGATCCCGTCCAGGTCGGCATCTTGCAAGGCCTGTCGGGCAAGTCTTCACTTCAAGCGCCAGGGTTCCTGGCACCTAGCTCGTTGGTAGCACAAGCTGCGTGCCAAATGGACGGGCCGCTGGCCTAAAAACCCAAAATGAGAAAGTCCATCTCAGATTGGTTTCTCGGGGAAATTCAAGACTATGGTAGCACACTCAGCAAAGAA